ACATTAAAAATTAGGTATATTAGCACAAGTAACCTCAGGTAGTAATAAGTGGTGATCTTACATAAAATTCTCTACAATCTAGTATATATTAAGGAAAAGCTTTTATTTGCTTCTGTATTTGAAATTAGGAAACTGCAAAACCCTGACTCAAAAGCAAGAGTAAAAGGCCACAAAACCTAAAAAAAAAAAAAAAAAGAAAAAAAATTAAAATGGTAATTTATTAAAAATTACTGAATCCACAAGGATTGAGGTTTTCTTTTCCTTTTTCAGCTCACCATGATATAAACAAGCAATTTCATAAAAAGAACTATCCAGGTCACACATTGGACTCAATCTTTTAGCCATGAAGTTTTCTGGTCCTGCTGCAGCTTCTGGGTGTTGATGTTATAGCTTAGCAACTATTTCCCAGAAGGCGGCAAAGAGAATATATGTGAAAGCACATAGTCAATTAAAAACAAAATTGCTTTTAGTTAAAGCATCATTATAATTATCCTTTATAGATTCATTGTTACATAACAAGTTGTACCAGGCTTTACAAAATTTCTCACAATCCTCACAATAATTATTCTTATTATTACTTCACAGAAGAAAAAACACTAAGGATTAGAACAAGTAAACTTGCTAAGGCTGCTCTGTCAGTAAGTGGTGAGTTTAACATCTAGTCTTTTTGTTACATCTGATTGTCTCTCAACCAACTGCATAATAGCAAAAACCCAAAAACCCCACAAAAAAATATCATCCTTTGATAATTTATAACATATAAAACAGTTGCATTTGCTTAAGTCCCAAGTAACTGTTTACACCTGCAAGGAAGCACAAACTTTGAAATTAATTTCTTAAAGATCTTTTCCTACATTGTCCACCTATTTTATTTTCTTTAAAATTTCCAAGGAATAAAGTTGTAAAGATCTTTAACATATATTTTTACAGGTGGATCTTTAAAAACAATAAATAGCACCTATCACTAGAAACAGATACTGAAGAATCGACTCCAGATAAAAATTGCTATCCTTGAATAATGCTCCTAAGTCTTAAAACTGTCAGTAAAAACTAACCCCCTAAGATTCACAATTTATTTGTCTTGGAATAAGAATTTTGCTTAGGTAAATAAGTTGTTTACCCCTTGCCCTGACCACTAAGTAGATATTTGGTAAAAAGAACATTTGCTTTCCATGGATTAACAGACCAGAGTTATTACAGAAGGACAACAGGGAGTTATAAACAGAATGCTACTTTCAATCCATCACTCTTATACCAATTGAGTTTAAAAAAAATATGGAGCATAATGCCCCTTTGGTCTAAATAGTAGAGAATTCTGGGCTTCACTGTCAGAATGCCCATCTTACTAAAGGGGAGCAAGAAAGCCTTTGTTTAACACCACCGGCCTCCTCACTAGTCATACAACTAAGTACTCAATTTAATACCCATTTACATATTCTCCTATCATTTAAGAGTGAATCTAGACATGAGATTTTAAAACACTTTACTATAATCCTAATGTATCTATATAGGTATCTATCATCACATTCAGTACAGACATACATACATAACTGAAGAGTTCAATGAAGTTACATTTACTAGATGCCGTGTAATCTGCTCTTTCCTGTTTCTCCCTTTTCCCTCCCCTCTTCTCTATTTAAATGCTGACATAACCTACTAAACTTATTTCATAACCATATTAAGCTGACAAGGATTCTCGTGGTATAGTAGTAGGTTAGATGTTAAGTCTACTAACTGAAAGGTCAGTGTTGAAATCCACCAATTGCTCCCTAGGAGAAAGATGGGACAATGTGCTCCCATAGAAGAGTTAATGCCTTCGAAACACTGCAAGGCAATTCTATTCATAAGACTGCTTTGAAATAAAATCAAATTACAACAGTGATGGCTATCTGCAAGCTGAAATATACTGATGCACACCAATCTCATTCTGCATATAAGAAAGCTAAGTGCAGAGATATTAAGTGTTGTGTTAAGACTTTTTTGTTCAAAATGGCTTCCTAAGCCCTTGAATAATTTTTGGCATGTGGATGGGCAGGAATACACAAACAGGGTATGTTAACCTAACCACAAGTAGATTGGCTAGTCTTGCCATTAAATGGAGCAGATGCAGCAGTAGAATGTGAGAACCTCACCACCAGCGAAGATTTGGGGCCAGAGATTCTTGCACCAATCAGACCAGGGCCTACAGGAAAATCAGCCATTGCAGTTGCAGCAGAGAATCAGAGATCTGATGTGAGACAGAAGGGATCCTGAGCTGCTTCCCCATGAATTAGAACTAGGATCCTCTGCCTAAGTTTACTGGACAACTATAAGTTGGGTAATTGGGGTAGGAGGGGAGCAGGGAGAGGTATAATGGGCAGGACTTAGAACTTTGTAACATGGGCCTAAAGCCATGAGGCTCAATGCTGAGGTGGCTGGGAGCACATTTCAGACGCTTTCCTGACTGAAAAGTGCAACTTGCTTGTAACTGAATTACAGCCTTTTGACTTCCCTAGAATGGTTTTGTGTGGTCTGTGAGCTGTCATATTTTGGACCCAGTACAGCAGTAAGATTGGTGTTGGGATGAGTAGAAAGAAGTGTGGGAGCATGGGGGGCATCTGACCTAATGGAAATTGGTTTTGTGTTCTTGATGGGAACAGTTCCCCTTTGTGAAGTTGGTAAAGGTTACACAAGGCCATCCCCACACAACCCTTGCTCTTTTTACACTGACTTACTAAATTTGATAACTAGTTAATAACAAGAGGTATAAAATTTAGGTATTTAAGTAATTCCAAGTTCACTTGTTGCTGTTATGTGCCATCGAGTCGCTTGCAACTCATAGCAACCCTATGTACAACAGCCCTAAACTCTGCTCTATTCTGTGCCAATCTCACTGTCTCC